GACAATCATCGACCAGTCGGAATTATATTTATTATACATGCAAAACTTTTTGTCATAATATCTGCTTTTCACAAAAAGATGACAAAATCATATTCATTAAAACAAAATCAGGAATATTATTTCGATTCTAAGTATATGTTATTATACAGAGAAGTGCACAAAAAATGGTCAGGATTGTAACTTCTGAATTATTCTAGATAGTGCTTTATATTTAAATAGGACACCCTGTATTTTACTGCAAACTCTGTTAGGGATTATCATGATGAATTCAATGATACCGGGTTTGATAGGTTTATTTCAAATAGTTACAAAGATATTTGCGTTCGAAGTTTTCATATGCTCAATGGATGTGACTTCGCAATATCAAAACTCCTTTCTCTGTCACACTGATCGATCATATGGAAAATTAGAACGCGAATATCTGCGTAATCGTTCGAAATAATCCTATCAAACCCGGTAAGGATGAATTTGTTATGACATTCCCTAACCGATTATAGAATACAATACAGAGTGTCCAATTTAAGAATCGAAAGTTGGGGTCGTTTCCAGTTAAACCGGAAGTGATAGAACAAAAATTGATTCGTCAATTGATGAGCAATTTTGTATACTAGCTACCCATTAATTCTCAAAACCCTATCCTATCTCGAATAAGTCAAAAGTTACAGTCGTGGCCGTTTTTTGTGCACTTCTCTGTATAGATATAAACTCGTTATGGTACTTTAGGTAGATACTCAACCGTTGACATCAGACTCAGTCTTCAAAAAATATTGAATTCCAGTCGAAATATCGATACTTGATAATAATGTTGACACCTATTCTGTTTATGATGTGGTTTAAGGTTTTCAACTTTTTCTGTAGAAGCAACAACCGCAACCATTTAAATTTATGACCAAATCATACCGCATGTAACATTATAAATTCTGCACCATACGTGTTAACATGCTGTAGCATTTACAACAATGCCTATATATACCAGCTCATAGGCGCCGGAGAAAGAAGGGGCATATCATAGTTTGTTTTTACCAAATAACAAATCTCATCCTACACGGCAATTTTTGCTCTTGATGGTATCCCTTTTCTTGGTCTTAAGTGACTGTCCTGACAGCAGTGACAGTAGCGTCATGGAAGTGCAACCATTAGGTTCATTTGAATATACATCGACGTTTAACTTCGTAATTTGAGGAAATAAGCTGAAATCAGTTTGGTAGATGCTCGAAATGGTTCCCTTGAACTTCTTGAAATAAGAACAGCCTACCCGATAATTCACCCCGAATACTTTGGAACACAGTTACGACAATATCTCTATAAATATTTATCATTCTCGGTCGTTTATCCGATACTGAAGGAGGTTCACCTCGTACATCTTTTGCTCGAAATAGCCTCATGAAAAAGTCTAAAGATGTCAAATCTGGCGAGCGCGCTGGAAATTCCGTAGAACTACAACGGTCAATCCAATGACCGGGAGAAGTATTATCCAAATATTTCATAACTTGTCTTTAGTAATTTGATGGTGCCCCAGCTGTTGGTATACAATAAACATAATAATGTGTTTGTATTCAGGCAACTATTGAATGTTTCGCCATTTTGTAGTAAATGAAGAAACTAACTTCATATTCTAGGGTTGTATGAAGTATATTCACCAGGAGCTTCAAGAGGATGTGTTACAAGATCCCTATTTCCATTTGATTTCATTTCCCAGATGGCACCCAGTCGCCATCCTGAAATTTTCATCTGTCAATTCAACTCCAAAACATACTCATAGTATTCAAGCAACAATTTCATTATCCCAAGTTTCAATTCGTTCAGTTGACCCATTCGAAAAATCAAAGGGGAGGATGACATTAAAGAAAAGCATCACTGCAGAGTTGGAAGTGGAATTATAGAATACTTGTATCTTCGTCATTGTATGAAAATCATTCCCAGAAGGAGGACCAAAAGGTTTTGAAAACATACAATAGTTATCAATAAATATTCTGTTCATGATGCATCTAAAGTACCAATAAATATACTTATTCCTGCTCGCTGATGGATATTTTTTTGAAATATGCTTGATGTTCTCAAAGACATATATATCAGGAAAATATCGTATATAAGTAGCTCTCCCTCAGGATCTACCATTGTTCAGAATCACCTATATATGCCTAAGGGAATATATATAGGAATTATATATGTTGGATGCAATCAATTTCATTGCTGATGATGGCGAATGAACAAAGCATTTTTGATTTTCGTTCTATTTTATAAATGAAATTCATACATTATACTTATATTAAAAATAAGTGCTGGGCTCCTATAATTGGTTTGGTGTTACATCATACTTCTAATATACAGACGAAGGTTTGTTCGCTTCGGTATCGTTGAAGTCACCGAAAGATTTTTATTACATCTCTTGAATGTATCCTTGTTCAGCACGTGTAAGAGTCAAATGGGTGTTCCTCTTCAGTCTATTCTTCAGGTTTTAACATCTTTCGTGCTTTATTCTTTTAAACCGAGTAGGTATAATATCCACCATTTGAGCGAAGCGGCTTTTATATACTTACGTATACCAACATAATATATCTAGTCGTATATTTGAACTCCTCATTCTTATCATCAGTCTGGGGTAAGCAATAATTTTATCTAAGGCGGCGTTGAATATCATAGTTTTTCTTTTTCATGTCGGAATGAACTTGCTTGTAGAGATCCAATTACAAGTGTTGATTATTTAACCAAGAAAATCCGCGTGAGACATGATGTTATAATGTTGTTTATTTATACGTACCTAATAAACCGATGATTTTATACTTAGTTGAATAAAACCTACCAATAGGTAAATAGTGAAATTACGTAGAGAAAAGGTAACCTATCTTTCCTCCTATATGAAGGTGCACTTGATGCGTTTATTGTTGTCATTTACAGAATATATTGAATCCTCCTTCCTTACCGAACTGTCTGATTCAATCATGATGACCACTACAAATCCCTATCAAGATATATAACGAAACTCAAAAGCCAAATCATCTCAATTAATTTCGATTATCTCCTCGATATAATATACGAAGAGCATCAGATGACAACATATTTAAAAGTTCCTATATATATGCGATTACTTCGAAGTTTCGGAAGTCAAAAATTCAGTTCATGGGTGTTTAGATAACTATTTCGTGATTTCTGAGAATTGAAACTAATAGTTTTCTATGTCTGGACAAAACTGTGTCGATTCAAATATCAAGTATACGGGGAAAATAACTTGCAACAGGTACTAAATTAATTGAGTTCAGGAAAAGAATGGTCTGTTGCTATACAGACAACTAAATATTTAGTATGCCCCTAAATTTTTTTTATCGCTTGGAGCGAAAACTATCACTTTGTATTTAGTAAGCATCACGTGATGCTGAAACATTTTTGGTTTTAGACACTGGTAGGTATATTCTGTTAAGAATACTGATAGTTTCTCTTCTTTGGATCCACTACTCAAAATTTAAAATTCCATATCGATAATATTTATATGTCAGAGAGTTTCAAGAGCAATAAGATGGTAAATATTTAGTTACCAATGTAAAATACGAATTGTTGTCGTTGTGTTCTCGATGTTTCCTCAACTTAATTGCCTAGGAACATTATTTAACAATAATTATGTATTACCAAGATAGTACAATAGTTATTCATACACCAAGGTTGTAATATATATTTATTATACAAGGGAAAAAAGTAGTAGATTTTAGCTCCAGGTTATGTTGGCTCCCGACGCGTGGCGGAGGGAGACAAAAAACCGTGAGCTAAAATCTAATATTTTTCCCGTGTATAATACACTATTTTTTTCTGCGGCAGAAGGAAAGACGAATCAATATCTAAAAATTATCGACATGAAATTTTGAGTTTTTAACAGTAGGGACACCTGCGTTGTTGGCATATTTATCATTCTTTCGAAGTAATCGAATATCTGGTTGTTTAGTGATATACGTAACTGCGAAGTCGAGTGGAAGATAAAAGGACTTGCCAGTTCTTTCTCGGAGACGGTATTATCATAAACTGTGGTATTATTGACTCATTTTTCGGAACTATAGCACAACAAAAGCCATCAACAGTAGATATATATTTTATATATATCCGGGAAAAAAGTACTCACTTTTTTCCCAATGGGAAAAAAGTAATTTCGGAAAAGTGACATTTTATATAACCTGCCAACAGAGATACAGATTGAAATTTGTTTCCCAAGTACTATTTTGGTATATTAACACGTGTACTCAGCTAATTATTCATTACCCAAACTGACTTTTATCTGTGATGGGAAAAAAGTTTGGCATTTCATCTGTGTTGGCAGGTTATAAAATGTCACTTTTCATAAATTAATATTTTCCCGTGGGAAAAAAGTGGGTACTTTTTTCCCGCATATATATCACATATATATATACACTGTTGATTGCTTTTGTTGTGCTATTATAGTTCTGAAAAATGAGTCAATGATACCGTCTCCGAGAAAGAACTTCGACTTCGCGGTAACGTATAATACTAAACAACCACTGAATTCGCAATTTTTTTTAAATCAAATCATAGAATTAGACTGACAGAAGTGACATCAGATATTTGATAACTTCAAAAGAATGATTAAGATGCCTACAACGTAGGTGTCCCTACTGTTAAAAACTCAAAATTTCACCTCGATAATTTCAGATTTGAAAATAATGTGATATCTTCTCAATATTGATTCATCCTTTCTTCTGTCACAGAAAAAAATAGTGTATTATACGCTAAAATCTACTACTTTTTTCTCTTGTATAATAAATTCCTATTGTTACTCGTACTCAACTCATTTTTTCGTGAAAAAGGAAAAAACCATAAAAACTGTTTGCTTCTCATAAGCCGTCCTTCTAATTCCCACCACTCCTTCGATCTCTCATACCATCACCCAATGTGCCGCTCACTCCCAACCCGCACCGCACTAACCACCTGTAAACACACCGCTCAGGTAAACCGAGCTAAGGTCGGGTTCGTGTTGCAGGAGCATGGCCGCCTTCTCCAGTCGGCCGGATGATGCTAGGCTGTTCGGATCGCGCGTCATGTGACCTCCGAACTCTCGTGGCCCAAGATGGCGTTGCTCAGGCTGCTGTCGCTCCTGCTGGTCCTGCTGGTGCTTGTGCGTGCGGGCATCGCGAAGAGGAGCAGGCACAACGCCTCGCAGGCGTTCCTGCAGCAGCACATGCGAAGCAGGACTTCGGTGTTGACGGAAAAGGACTCGGATTTTTTGAATAAAGGAAAGAGTAAGTGTAGGAGGTGAAAGTTGGAGGTTGACGTGCAGTATTCTGGCGTTTGCGATGTGTTGTATTGGTTGCGACGTGAACAGTGATATTAGATGTATTCGAACCTTCTGAGTTCGAAAGTTTCCTTCAATGTGGCTGGTAGAGATGAAAATTGTTGCCTGATAACTCTTAGTTACTTATCTTCGACTGATTCATTTGTTCTGACCAAAATGGTATTTAAAATTATTGATAGCTCTCTACATCCTCATCTGTCTTATCACACTTTTGAAATATTCGAGGAAATATTTTGCTTTGAAAACACCCAGTAAACACAAAGTATCTCAGAAACAGTGAGAGTTAGGAAGTCCTTGTAGCTTAATATATAGTTGCCCATTCTGAGAATGTTGCACTTGATGGCTTCAGAAGAAGATCTGATATGTTTTTGAAACTATCAACTACACAGATTGCTTCAAGAGAAACGGGCCGATTCTCTAAGAAGTGCTTAACAGGGTGGCTAAATTAGTAACGTTGTTATTGAGAACTTTTTAAACCATCCCAGATTTTCCTCTATTAATATTTGGTATTGTATGAAGACAATCATCAATGTGGTTAGTTTTTTTCATTTCCACTCAGTGGCATAAATAAAGCTGTGGAGCTCGCTGTGGAGTTAGTCATTCATCTACTATTTCATTGATTATTGCTATATTTCTGCCTTTTTACCGTCAATTTAACCTAACAATTGATCACAAGCACTTGGTTGAGACATTGCTATATTAGAATCAGTCCCCATGATGATAGGATTTTAGCGTGCCAAGTAAATGTTAAGCAGCAAGTATCTGAGATACTTTAGGCTTTAGTATGTTCACTTAGTACTTTCTATACTGATATATTACAAATACTCAACTGATATTTTCTTTTATAAGGAAAGAAGCCAACCAACGTCTTCCATCTGTGGTTTTATTAATGGTATAAAAACCTTTAAAACTAATAGTCTTGGCATGTGATAGATTCAAGGATGGACTCGTTGAATCCATCAAAAATCTGTTGTTTCATGCTATCCTTCTAGTGAAATAGGTAATTTTTTGTTTTCACTAATCATTAGTTAGATATTCCATACTTTTTTGCCGTGTAAAAACCTCTTGTGCAACATCTAGGACTCGATCTAGCATTACCACAGAACAGATGAACAACATTTCCTTGAAATAGTGCCACATTTGTTTATTTTAAAAACGTTAGCCACTCCACAACTCACCAGAAAAAGCTGGTGGATATCTGCCACTATTGAAAGTGGAAAAAACATGACAAGTTGTTGTAAGTGGTTCAAATAACCACTGACCTTTATATTGACCACTCGAAAAATAACCACGCTCTTGTGAATTGGACCGATTACCCTTCATTCGTTGGCATTTCTCAAGAAGTAATAGAGATACTCTTACATAAAAAGAACCTCAAGTTACTCAATGTTTACCAAATTAAATTGACTTTCAATAGTTGTTCGACTGTCACCATTTCCAAGATACATTAGCTGTTATCGATGCATTCACATCTGAAAGATTAAAAACATACTGTACTTTTGAGAAAGGTATTTAGATGCACTTCTTGGAGCACTTCTTCCAAATGGAGAAGAATATTATATATCTACCACTTCAAACTCTCTAAATTGCCCTAAGGTTTTGCCCGAGGTTTTGCCCCAAAGCTTGAACCGAGGCTTGAACCGAGGCTTGAACGAACCAAAACAATTCAATGTTTTAAAAATGTTCGATACAATATTACATTTTTTGTTGAGAAATATTATATTATAATACAAGAGATTCATGATTTTCAGAGTTGGATTTTTTTATAAGAAGTAGAATTGCTAAATTTAGTCCTTGTGAGAATTCTCAAAAACACATGTTCTATACTAACACCTCGACTACCACAGAAATTTCCCCGAGTCATCTAAATACCTGATTCTGATGTTTTTCCATCAAGTTGCAGTTGAGTTAATTGAAAAACTATAATTCCTTGTATCATATATGAATATATACAGTATACTACATGTGGAAATCATCTCAACATTGAATTCGTCTAATATTCTTGAAATATCCTTATCTTGATTCTGAAATGTCTCGCAATCATTTGAGGTATATATCAGAGATTATACACTGCATGTTGTTGTTTTCCCAACAACAGTTCCTATATCAATTTCCGCGTCAATTTCAGTAGTTAGATCTATAGTTAATAGTTTATCTCACATGAATCATATCTGCCTAGTTATCTGCTATCGAATCTGCTCATTCAATTTATTTCATCATCAACAATGAAATAAACAATATTGAAGATTTGGAATTTAAGTGCATATCAATGATATGAAGTCGAACTCCTATTTGTACCTAATGAAAATCATCAAACTCATAAACAATGAGAGTTGGATATGCATTCAAGACTCGATTCAAGATATATGTGATGGTCTGTTAACTAATGATCAGTATTTATTTTCTTGTATATACACAACATGTTTTCCTGCTAGACAAGATTATATAGGGAGTGGAGAAATGTGATAGACACTCCCTAGGTTGAAGACATGCTTGTCGAATATTACTTGCAGATTTCACTGAAACACTCACATTGTTCTATATCCACATGTTAGAGATGCGGAATATCGTACAGTTAGTTTGGTGTAAGGTGTTTTATAATCCAAACAAGTTTTTAGAATGAAACCCAAAGATTTCTTCTCAAGAAAAGGTATCATGAGATGCATTCCAAATCTCTAATAAATAATGACTATTCAATGATAATTAGGCAATATTGAACATAATATATATCGAAAGATGTTCGCCTTTGTATTCGATACACCTATATCATCTGATAGTTGGAAACTTGGAACTGTTAATTTCGAGGTTAATTTATTCAGGCGGGAAAAGAATCTCATGAATTACAGTGCTATTCTATCACTGTTTCTGCAGCGTCAATAGATCGCAAACGCTGGATAATGCATGTGAGATAAAGATAAAGGTCTAAAGTTGGAGATACACGGCACTAAGATTATTGTCTTTATCATATGTGTCTATATTTGTCATTATTAATGTTAGCTGTATTAGATATGATAGATTATTATAGAATTCGAATATTGATGTATTTATGTTTTTATATTCAGGTTGTTGTTTACCAATATTTAATTATTGATGACGATGAAAATAATTGGAAGTACTTTAATATAAAAACATTGGACTATTTGGCCACGCCTATATATCAAGATGATCGTTTATCGAATTACCCACATACGATTATACATTTAACGAATATTTCAATGCTACATTGCAAATTCAAATAACGATCATATAATGAAAAACTCACATGGAATGCACAAATTGAAAGAAACTTCAAGATATTGGATATACTAGTTTATATACCACAAGTAGGGTCGTTGAGAATAAGTTAAAGTAGAGTTGGCCCAGTTGTCAGCAGACCGAGAGCGGCTGATGAGACCTGGTGGGTCGAAACAGTACTGTCTCGCTCCTGCTGACAATTGGGGCAACTCTGTTCATCCTGGATCTCTTAGTATGAGATCTAGAAGTTGAAGGGTGTTGAAGTGATATTCGATTAGAAATTACCATCAAAAGCAGAAACTCAATTATTGGAATCAATATTATAGGATTCACATGTCTTATTAAATTTATTTTTTTAGATTTTGGTTTTTCCGAGATTCCTCATTGGTCGAGTGAACACTTTTTAGCGACTTCACTGTGTCTGCCGAGGTGTCTGCACCTATAGTTACTACTAATGAAAGGTAGTCGAAGAACTCAAACCCTATTTGAAAGTATATAAATTGAAATATTTTCTATAGAAGATTCGAAACTCGATTCAAAATCATCTCGAGTTATTCCAGAATGAGTCTAATGTAGCTAATCATGAGTATGTGAGTGGAACTGAAACGATCATCTCGTAGGAATTCCATCAAAAACTGTATTCGTGTTATTATGCATAGATTTAAGAAGGTACTCCTCATTTCTCCATATTATTATGTTCAAAGAATGATATTAGTACAGGTTAAGACTCGGGTTAAGGCATACCTAATCTCGGGTATATACAGGATTTATCTTCATGAGATCTTCTGTAGTAGTCCATTCTCCTATTTATATATATTTTTATATATCGCTTGGTGCGCACGAAAGAGAATCCCTACAATGTTCGAAGAACATCGTGCGTACTTAGGGAGGATATAGGTACAGGAGGTAGGTGTTGGAGTTTTGGGAAATACTTCCTTAGGCAATAAATCTCAGAGCTTTCCCGTAGAGAAACGAATTTTGATATAGTTCGACATATTTTGAGGTTGAAACGAAACGATGTGCTGACTGAGCTTGTCGAGTTCGTCTGGCTGGTGTTGCTAGTCATGGAATGATAGTTGAGACGTTTCAACGGTTGAGATTTTCTGTAAAACATTTCTCATGGAAGTATCTATTAAACAGTGAAAGGTCGCCGACCTTTCTAAGGTGTCCCAATGATGTCACATTGTTACTGAGTGTGGCATCACTCAAAAGACAAATGGCTCTTCTTTATATAGATGGAATCTAAGAGCATCAGAGTATGTTTGAGTGCTGAACCCCATATGCGAGAACAGTATTCTAGAACAGGTCGTGACTGTGCTTCGTAAATCATGAGAATAAGCTGTTGAGGTGTAAAATAGCTTTTCACACGGAATTAAAATGCGAGTTTTTGTGAAGCAGCTTTCGCGATGGATCTGATATGATGTTGAAAATAGGGTATTTTCCATCGGAACACAATTTTTGGGGTCATTTGGTACCTTCATATAAAGAGAAAGCACTATTTTTGTCGATTTTCGTTACGCAGCAGACTTTTAAAGATTCATCACGAAAATGACGAGTGTTATCGAAGAATATGATTTTTAGGTAAACATTATGATATTTTCATACTTCCGGGTCAAACTGATGAAAATTTCATTGAAAAAAAAGTCGGGGGAAACATTCCCCTAGATCCACCTTTTTCCCACGTACCTGATCATTAATTCGGAAAATTCTTAA